TTTTTTTTTTGATGTTTTCTCTACTCAGCACATGAAATCATCACGAAGAATGTCGGAGACGGGATATGGAGAGATATGCCAGGAGATTGTCTCCCTCTTGCCCATTGGACGTGGAATCCAGGATTTGGAGTCAGGTTCGAGTGCAGCCACTCTGCCTAGAGCCGGATCACATACGGCAGGTCAGTCATTCATTCCGCCTAAATCCAATGTGAACGGAAACCTTAATGCTTGACTTCAAACAATGAGGAATTTGGGAAGTGGGAGGGAGGAGGAGAAAGAACTATTGTTTAAACTGGGTGAACTGTGAACGAGAGTTATCACACTTCTATCGGAGTTCTTTTGTTACTTTAAAGTTCCTGCGGATTATTATTTGTTGTCATTTGGTGAGCCAGTGTTTTGATGAAGTGCAAGAGGCAAGACCATCACGAGGAGCTGTCAGAATCTCAATTCCCCCTAGGCTGACCAATCAAATTTGAGCATCCCCTAACGATTCGATTGGTCCAAGTGGCGAACTCACCTCGGGAGTGTAGGTCAGCACAGGGACTTTGACCTCGATGGAAAATTCATGCCACAACTTGTTTCCATCTCATTGCTAGTTATTCATTTTGCAAGGACTATCTTCAGGACGAGTTATGGACAGTCAGAATTCAAAGCCCTTCGGTAATCCTTGCTAAAAGTTAATGTAATTTCAAGTCTGTGTGTGATGATCGACTCCTTTCAGTCATCTACGCATTCGCAAGCAAAGCGACAAAAGCAAGCATAGTTTTCAGGGACGACATGCAATGTTAAGTACCACTGGAGCTGTGACAGAAGTCTTTCATTTAGCCCACGTGAGGGTCGATTGACGGGGGTAATAGGAAGGATTGCATTCGCTAAGAGATGAAACAGCAGAGAAGGCATTAAGGCAGTAAAATACTTTTTGAACACCACCAAATGTATTCAGTGGATGGTGACAGAGCCTCGACGACAAGTAAGTACTCCATCGGCTCCACTACTCCCCGCCCGCCTGCTATAACTGCCGCCGTGGCACCTCCAACCACCTCAACCGGTGGCGCTACGATGCAGAGTCGAGACCTCGTCCACCTTCGTTCGCAGAGAACGTCCTCAAACCAGCCAATCACTTCCACTTCGCGGCCCCAATCTACAGAGGAGGGGGTGATGAACGATAGAAGCTCCTTCAGTACGCTCTTGCATCCATCCCCTCCATGTCTTCATTCACCATCTCTAACGCTGCTGCAGACGGCTCTAACATCCTCTTATTTATTTATTTATTTATTTTGGTGATGTTCTTGGATTTCGACCTAACTCCTGGGGGTGCAAGTGGTATTTTTTATTGGCAAGATAACATATTTCTCCCTCATTTTTTGCTTTCAGGAAGGTCATACTCGGCTAGCGGCGGCAACCGGGGTCAGTACTTTTCGGGAACGCAGTCACCGTAAGTTTGTGGATCTCCTCACTACCCATTTGGCAAGCCTTTGCGAGCAGTAAACAGGGCCGGCAACCAGGTGTCCACCCGGTCTCAAATATGCTTTAAAGCACCCTTTTTTCATCAATAGAAATGCAACAGTCAGACTGTTTAGTTGAATGCCATTTCACGCTGATTTGTGAGCCACACCCGACCTCATGACGCTGTGTCTCGTTGTGAAGGTGTCGTCTTAACCCTCTGATTCTGATTGGTCGAGAGGTTTTAGTCCTCGTCATCGTTGCTCCCATTTATCAAAGTCTGTTAAGAACAGTTTCTCTAGACTATCGCCTTGTCACCAAATGCACTACTAGTTCATGTAAACAGTAATTTAGCTGGTTTTGTGGGAAAAACCCCTTTTTCAGTGGCATCTGTGATTCATTTGCAGACTTTATAGGAGGTTTTGGGACTGTTGTTCTGGCGAAAGAGCCCTTAAGCCACAAGCGTTGTTTGAAGTTCTGTCCGGTTTAAAGATCGCTTTGCATTACCGAGTGTGTGTTTCATTGAGTGGCAGGTCATGGCGCGGCACGCTGTGGGTCGCACTTCCCGAACCTCGAACAAAATCAAGCCCACAGGTGAAGAGTTGACACCTCAAGCACGTGAAAGAGTAACACCTTAAACTATTTGCAAATAAACAATTCCCAAATAACCCAAAAAAGCTGTTGGAGGCGTGAAGCAACTCGAAATTTAGACCGGTGCTGTGGGTTAGTCGGACTGTCAAATGCTTGCAGCAAGCAGGATGGGCTGCTTCATTCCAGCAACTTTACCTATCCGCCAAGAAGAGTCTCACCAACTGGGCCACTTACTAGTTGCGAATCTTGGCTTCAGTGTTGGTAGTGGATTCTGCCCCTCACAATGTCCGTCGCAATGCGGTACGCCTTCTTTAGGCTTTGTTTGCATCCGCCGTGGGGCACCACCGTCCCTCACTTCATGAAACATCCGCTTGAAGGGTTGACGATGCGTGCTTTATAAATGCCTAGGCGAGGCAGCATCATGCATGGAACTATTTCAAGATGACCGATGTCAGATTTTATGTCCTTTTATTCGTCAACGCACTGCCCTTGTGATTGGTTGTCATAAAATTGGTGTTCCAGCACCTCTGGCAGTTCCTCAAGACATTCAAGTTTGGAATAGGCGTTGGTGCAGGGGTCTACCGCATAAAAATTGCGGCAGAGATTGTGAAAATTGAGCTCTTGATTTGCCACATAGACCTCCCTTGCCTTGACATCCCCTTTGACTCCTATTAACGCTAAGTTGCAATTAATTTTGTTTTGTAAATTTTGCTCAATCACGAGAGGGGATTGAAGCAATTGAAATTCCTGACCGGGTGTGTTCACTTTGAGTGATT